CCAGCTACTTTGTGACGCGCGAGGCGCCCGCGCGCATCTCGGCCATGTCCAAGGACACCAAGCTCATCGTGGTGGTGCGGGACCCCGTCACCAGAGCCATCTCGGACTACACGCAGACGCTCTCCAAGCGGCCGGACATCCCCACCTTCGAGAGCCTGACCTTCCGGAACCGCACGACCGGCCTCATCGACACGTCCTGGAGCGCCATCCAGATCGGCCTGTACGCCAAGCACCTGGAGCACTGGCTGGGCCACTTCCCGCTGCGCCAGCTGCTCTTCGTGAGCGGGGAGCGGCTGATCCGGGACCCGGCCGGCGAGCTGGGGCGCGTGCAGGACTTCCTGGGCCTCAAGAGGATCATCACGGACAAGCACTTCTACTTCAACAAGACCAAGGGCTTCCCCTGCCTCAAGAAGGCCGAGGGCAGCAGCAAGCCCCACTGCCTGGGCAAGACCAAGGGCAGGACCCACCCCGAGATTGACCCCGAGGTGGTGCAGCGGCTGCGCGACTTCTACCGGCCCTTCAACCTCAAGTTCTACCAGATGACTGGGCACGACTTTGGCTGGGATGGATAACAATCTAATTTAAAAAGAAAAAAATATTGAAATATAATATATTTTTTTACCGGTTGGTAGAGAAGAAGCGGTTTAATATGTGTGCTGAAAATACTTGTTTGGGTACCCCTGCCCCCCATGAATGTTAAGAGATTGTCCTCACCCATGCCCTCATCTTAATATATAATCAACACCAAACATTGGGATAAAACAATGTAAACTGCACTCACCTAGCTGCTCTCAGTGCTCAGTGTTGACCGTATTTTATGTTATGTTACACACGCAATCATAAAGAATGAGGATTGGTTGCCATTAAAAGGTTTAAGAATATGTTTAAGCTAAATGTCTCTTTTTAAAGTAGGCCCTGTTAAAATTCATATTAATCCTTAGATGTTTAATTCCCAACCCCCACCCCCGCGGTACCCCTTTCTTTTCTTAAGCCATTTCCTTATGTAGTAATACTGAATTTGTGCGTCATTTCCTGGTTTTCACAAAGATTCAAAATACGTGTTTTAAAATTCTTACACAGCTATATGTCATTTAAGAGCATAGAAATTCTTTGCCCCATTTTACAGATAAGAAAACGGTCTCAGGAAGGTTCAATTATTTATCTTAAAGCCAAATGGCGGTCTCTGGGCAAAACCCTGTCTTCCACGTGTTCCCTATTTCCTGCCAATCCTTCAGGGGAGACCGCGAGTCAAAGGCGTTTGTGTCTTCAGAGATGTACGCCTAGCTTTTGGATGATCTAAATTCCCGGCTCCTTGTGACCCCCAATCTCCTTGCACAGTGGGGTTTATGCTCAAGAAAAACCCAGTCTGGACACAAACATGTAAGGGCCAGTCTTGGCTTATTGAAGTACATTGGGGATATGAAGACTCTCGACTTAAATGGAAATATCTTATTTGACTCTTGCATTGGGAACAAGACAGGGGCCCTACTAGGAATAGGGCAAGATGTGGTAGGTATACAATTTACCCATTTGTTGATTTAATTGTCCATTTAAAAAGAACAGAAAAAGGAAAATCATGTCAGTAAATGCTTACAAGAATGAGTCTCATTTTCCTTTACTTTTTTAAAGAAAGAGCATCTTCCTCTCTTTGTATCTGGTTTCTGACCTTAGAAATAATACTAAAAATAGATCAATTAACAACTCATTTATAATGCTTTCTTTTTCATGGATGGAAAACTCTCACTTTGTCACTTTATTTCTCCCCCAGCCCCTGCTCATACTGGTTATTACCTAATGTGTATTAATAGTTGGTAAATATTCTAAGAATTATCAATTTGGATAAAATGTTAATCCTTTTCTCCCATGTGTCCCTGCCCATCCCCATTTAAATTGCTCAAATCAATCAATAGTTTATTAAGAGTATTCCTTTCCTCTCGGAGTGGGCACTAACAAGATTAGCATTAATGAGAAGTAAATTGGTTTAGAGAGGAGCACATACACACAAAATATATAAAACGTTTATAATTAGTCTGTCAACAGCATTTTATTACAGGTTCGAGCCCAAGAGGAGAAAAAAAAGACTTCTCCTCTCTCAAGGCAGTTTAAAGGGCCAGATACTCTCAAACTGGAAGACAGTATTCCTGTTACCTTCTCCAAGTTGTCAATCAGATGAAGCAACAATTATATTAAAATATGCCTGACAATATGCATGCAACCCATGACGTAATATTTTCTTGAGAAACTTATTGCATTAGGATTAAAATGAAGGTAAACAATCCTTTATGTTTCTAGATATGTTGTCAGGGCTCCACATCTTTGGATTTGTTTCTGCAGATTCTCTTTAGCA